ATATTAAATTTAAGTAATGTTTAAACAATATTTATAAATATAATTTAATTACGAAAATGCAATACGAACCTCCTCGGAACATTAAATTTGGCGTAAACACTATTAAATGTCGTAAACGTGTTGACAAATTTCTATAAATGGTATTCATTATTGAAATATTTACAAATTTCAATAATAATAAATAATGTTTTCATAAACACCTATGACTTATTTTTAATTCAAAACTATCTTATTGAAGTGTCACATATAAACAAATATCATATAATAACTATAATACTACCAATGCTAGATCATTGTTGTATTCCGTTGCATAAGTACACTTCTTATTGTTTACATAATCATTTGAAAACATTATATGAATGAAGTCTAATTATTTATCCTTTTCTTTTTCACTGTTTTGAAATAAGATGAAATTATAATTGAAGTTAGCGATGTATCTTTTTAGAACACACTATTGTTCGTATTTTTTGACCAATGGTAAAGTCTCATGTGTAGTGTGTCTATGTTCTTATAGTGATCTCGACGCGGCAATCTCGGCGTCCGACCTAAGTCAAAGTGATTTTTAGGCGCAACTTTCAATAAATATGTTGTGCTAGTATCGCGAAAGCAAAGAACGATGAGCTTCTCTAGTGATGAAGTCAATTTCTTGGTTTACCGATACCTTCAAGAATCTGGTATGTTTTTAGAGTACTTCATAACCTTTCTTTAAATAATTTAGGCAAATTTCGTATTCCTATTGTTTATATATATCTATCATATTTACATGGTAGATATATATATTTTTTATAATAATAATTATTATTAATAAAATTTTATTAGTTAATAACATATTGTAAAATATAGATTAAATATGATTGAAAGAGGTTATTTGAGAATAAATATAAGCATTTAATTATTAAATATATTTTTTAAATTTATTGTGTATAAATTATTTTATAAATTATATAAGAATTATAATTTAGATTGTATATTTTCTTTAAGGATTTCAACATTCTGCATATACATTTGGCATAGAATCACATATATCACAAAGTAATATAAATGGAGCATTAGTACCACCTGCAGCACTTTTATCAATTCTACAAAAGGGACTTCAATATACAGAAGCAGAGATATCAATAGGTGAAGATGGAACTGAACAAAGAATGGTAGAATCTCTTTCTCTTATTGATGCTGTTATGCCAGATGTTGTGGCATCAAGACAAAATCAAATTAATCAACAAAAACAACAAGTGAAAACAGAAGTCCAAGACACAAATGGAGAGGAAGGTAATTTTATTTATTATAACAATTTTTATAATAATGTGTCATATAATTAATTAAATCAAGAATTATTTTATTATCCTGGTACACCCTGGTCTATAAAAATATTTAAATTTAATAGACCTCCTTATTAAACCAGGTATATTAATGGACTGCTTTAGTTGTCGGATTGTTATGAGCTAATATTTTTTGTTATAACAGTTAAATCAAAATATATTAATATATTTGTATATTATTTATATTATATATATATATATATATATTTTTATTTCTTTAGTAAATTTTTTCTTAATGTTAAAATATATACTGATATAGCAAATTAAAGCTCATTTTTAAAATTATAACATGTCCGTAAACTAGGAGCAAACAATTATATTATTAATATATATGTAATCTGGAATAAAGAATTAAAAATTTAAAAATTAATTACTTGCAAATTAATTCAATAGTATGATTAATTTGATAATATCAAGATAACAAAGATACTAATACAAATATAAAATAATATAAAGATAACAGTATTATTAAATATTAAGACTTTAAAATTAATATTAAAATTTTTTAAATACAGAATTTCTTTATTTTAGATTACATATATAATTATAAAAAGGAAAGGAAAATTTCTATTTAATAATTGTTATTAACTTATAATTTATTTTCAGTTGTTACTTCCAATGAAGGTGTAGGCACAAATGAAAGAGGAGGAGATAGAACAGAAATGGAAGTAGATGAACAACAACAAGGTTCAGGCAGGGGAACTAATGCTAGCGCTGTTGAAATTCCAGACACTAAAGCTACAATATTACGTGGTCATGAATCAGAAGTTTTCATATGTGCATGGAATCCAACAACTGATCTTTTAGCTTCTGGTTCAGGGGATAGTACAGCTCGTATCTGGGATATGTCTGGTAGTTCTCAGGCTCCAAATCAGCTTGTGCTTCGTCATTGCATACAAAAGGGTGGTACCGAAGTACCAAGCAATAAAGATGTTACTTCATTAGATTGGAAGGTAAAATTATTTTTTTTAAGTTATAAAATCAAAAAAAAAAAAAAAATAAAATTTATTTCATATTTCAGTGTGACGGTACCTTATTGGCTACAGGAAGTTATGATGGTTATGCACGGATTTGGAAGACAGATGGTAAATTAGCATCTACATTAGGTCAACATAAGGGTCCAATTTTTGCATTAAAGTGGAATAAACGTGGAAATTATATATTAAGTGCTGGAGTTGATAAAACAACAATCATATGGGATGCAGAAAGTGGACAATGTACTCAACAGTTTAGTTTTCATTGTGCACCTGCCTTAGATGTTGATTGGCAAACAAATACATCATTTGCTAGTTGTTCCACTGACCAATGTATTCATGTATGTAAACTTAATGTTGATAAACCAATCAAAAGCTTCCAAGGTCATACGGTATGTATATATATAGAAATATAATTATATTTTTTAACTAAATATTTATTTTTTAAAACATAAGGAGTTTTTTTTTTTCTTTAATTACAGAATGAAGTTAATGCTATAAAATGGGATCCCCAAGGCAATTTATTGGCTAGTTGTTCAGATGATATGAGTCTTAAAATTTGGTCTATGAAACAAGATACATGGGTACATGATTTACAAGCTCATAGCAAAGAAATATATACTATTAAATGGTCCCCAACTGGACCTGGAACCCATAATCCAAATATGAATTTAACTTTAGCTAGTGCATCATTCGATTCTACTGTAAGATTATGGGATGTTGAAAGAGGTGCATGTATACACAGACTTACAAAACACACAGAACCAGTGTATAGCGTAGCATTTAGTCCAGATGGCAAATTTCTTGCTAGTGGAAGTTTTGATAAATGTGTTCATATTTGGTCTACTCAGGTAAAATAATTTTTTTTGTTTCTACTTGTCGTTAAGAAATTATATATATTTCATTATATATAATTTATATTTATATTTATATTTCATTATATATATTTAATTGTGCAGAACGGTCAATTGGTGCATAGTTACCAAGGTACTGGAGGAATTTTTGAAGTATGTTGGAATAGCCGAGGTGACAAAGTTGGTGCTTCTGCATCTGATGGCAGTGTATTTGTTCTTGATCTTCGTAAAATGTGATCGCAATTAAATAATAGATTATATTTCATTTCTTGGACTTATTATGATTCTAAGTTACCTTCAATATTTCTCACTTTATTTTTGTTTAATTCTTCATTCAAAATATTAGCCACATTTTATACTTACTTTACTTTATTTGTTTGCGCTTGTTGGATATAATTTCATAGAATATTAATTATTTATATATAGATAAAAATGATTCGACGATTTATGAGTTAAATAAAATTTAAACATAAATGCAAATTAAAAAAAATGTGGCTTTTTATAGATTATTTTCCTAAGATTATTCTGTTGAAGAGGTTTATAAAAAGTATTGTACATTAAATATTTTCAATGATACTCTGTACAATTTGAAAAAGTTTGACAGATATATTTCCAGAGAAAAATACTATTTTCGTTCACTATAAGTGAATGAAATACATGTTGTAATTTTAATTATAATATTAAGCATTATATGAACATCGATAATAATAAGAAATAAAATAAATCTTTTTAAAAAAACAGTAAATTAAATGATTTATTTTTCTTATACCATTGAATGAAAAGGTACAATTAGATTATACACAAATATAATTTAAATTAAATTTATTTCATTTATATTCAATTATATTTCATTATATTTCATTATATTATATAATTATGCATTGGATAATATACACAAGTCATACAAATAAAAAGAGCTAAAATGAAAATAAATAAATACACAATATTATACATAGATTTAAAATAAAAAAAAAATCTATTTATATGTTATATATAATTTCTTTGCATAATTACATAGTGAAGATTTTTTGTACATTTCTTCAATAATAAGATATGCATATAATGCAATATATAAATAATAATAATAAAATTTACATTTATTTTTTAATATGAATATAAATATCAGAAGAATTAATTTTTGTATATTAAGATAATCATAAAAATTGTTTATGAATGCTTAATATAAAAAATATATAAATATATAAAAAATTGAAGAACGAAGTAGAGAGATAAACTAAAATAAAAAGAAAAAATATTTTGCAAAATAGCATAATTTAATTTGAAAAATTTGTTTTTATCGTGATTTTTATACAGTATTATTATTTCTGTAAATATTCATGTGCATGTTACATTTTCATTATAATATAAAGTATATAAAATCAAAAATAAAATATTTTAATAAGATTTTAATAAAATTTACAAGAATAAATCATATTTCGATGTTTTACATAAGTACAAATTTGATAGAAGAAAACATATGTCTATTAATTTATGGTACTTATGAAAGGAACTATTTACCGATTTTTTTTAAATACATGTAATATATTTCTTTGGTAATAAAATATATAATTCATTAGATCATTACTTGATTTTTTTCGAGGATATTAAGAAAAACAAAAGACGTACTGATTATAAAGTTATTAACACAAATAAAATATATAATAAAAAATAATTTGCATATATATATTTAAGATATGGAACATTAATTCTTAATTACATTTATTCCTTTCATGAATAAAGTTTGTCGGGAACAAAGCATTTGATCTATATATTTAAATAATTGCATTACATTAAATTTATAGCTATTTGGATCTATTATATTTTGGAAATAGTTTGAAATTATTAGCAAAATATTGCATGATTCAAAAAATTTTACTGTACAATAGATAAATACAATTTTATAATCTTTTTCCATAGTTAATTTCAATTAAAAGTTACAATATTTACGTTTTTAAATTATTATTTATAATAAAATAGTTTATAATATTTCTATCATTGTGTTCATAAAACTTAACTCTAATGTGAAAAAACATTTACATTAAATTATATCCAATATTGGATATAAAATGTCTTCTATGTAGATTGTTGGATTGGGCAGACTTTGTGGGATCACAACGCATAATACTGTTTTGTTTCATATACATATTTTTGCGCTATTGAAAAGGAAGAAATAGAAAAAAATAAAATGTTTAAGTTCAAATTATAACATTAAATTTCAAATATCAATAAGAAAAATTACTTTATATTTTTCATTATTATTTCTACTTTCTTCCCTTTCTGGATGCTACAAAATTAAACTAGTTACGATTAAAATGATTATTAAAATTAAAACGAAAATAAGAAAATAAATACTGTTACATTCTATTTCTTAAATTTTTTGCTTTCTACGAATATATCATGCGCGAATACTAATATTTATTTTATGCTTGACATGAATAATTTGCATATAATTCATGAATGAAATACGTATTAAATAATGAATTTTGCACGCCACAAAATGTATAAATACATGTTTGTATACATATATATATATATAATATATATATATATAACCTGAGAAATATGACGAATAATAGATAAACTATATGCAATTCATTAGCTTTAGATAAAAAATCGTAATATAGCGAAAATTGATTGTGAGTGTTCTCCTTGAGTGTCGATTACAGTAAACGTAGCTCATTTGTTTGCGCCTGAAAATTTTAAATTTCATTTATTTTTTTGTATGAACAAATTTTAGGAATAAATTTGATTCACAATGAAATTAAATGTTCGCTTGGAATAATTACCCTTCGCGTTTGATCATCCTGTCTTTCTCGAAATGCCGAATCATCGTTATGAAGCCAATCCTGCAGTCTTTCGGAAATTCTTTCCGGTGCCACGTTTCGATCATGATTTTTTCCTTGTTGCTCGAGTATGTATTCAAATTCGTTTTTCAATCTTGAATCGCCGGTTTTAGACATGTTTCCGCCGTAAAGAGGTAACGATCTTTTTCCAATCGTCTCCAAAAGACGACGATTGGCGTCGATTTGAGCTTGATCCTGTAACGCTTTACGTCTAGCAAGTTCAAGAAGAACTCTTTGTCGTAACACATCCATAGAATTCACGATCGACAATGATCCGATACGTTTTGATTCAAGACGTTTCGTTCGGACTACTGTTGATCCTGGATCGTTTCCCGAGTCGAACATTTCATTCTGAAAAATTATAAAATTTTGTTATTAATATTCCAATACTAATTTTTCTCAAGATATAATTTTACAATATCCGGTTGCAATTTATTCGGACCGATTATACACTATGCAAAAAACGAATATATTTTTTACGTTTACTTTTATAGATCACTTGACTTTTATTTTGTTGAGAAATGAAATAAAAATTATAATATTTCTTCAATGAAAAAAAGTGTTTACATATTAGAAATTAAAAATTAAAAAAAAAAAATGACATCCACATTCTTAGAACTCACGTGTGTTAGAAATCCAAAAAATCAATCGTGTGATAACCTAATTTCGGTGAAGAAATTTCATCTAAAATATATATATCGTAATATAAGTCATAAATAATTTAGAGTTAATCACCTGTTGATTATTGCTGTCAATCGTTTCATACGAGAAGAAAAGATCTAAATATATTGCTAAAAGATTTATTTACGATTCGATTATAGAATCAATAATAAAGTCTGTCTAATGATAAAAAAAATATCTTTTCACATTCCTTCTAAAGTTACCTAATAAACGAGAATTTTAAACAATTATATTTTAGTTTTAAGAGAATTGAGCATAATGTCGTAATAATAGGTGAAGATTTTTTTATGAATATTAAAACACTTCAGAAAGGATGTACGTGGATATTTGACGCGAAAGATGGAACAATTACGTCGACTATAGTACCATGCTTTTGAGTAAAGAACAGAATTTGATTATCGTGGACAATATTACGGTTGAAGTGGCGAAAAAAAAAAGATCATTATGAATTAGAATGAAAGTGGATCGATTGCATATGCACATATGTGAAATAAGAAAAAAAAAGAAAGAAATCAACGCAACGTTGCGCAGTTTTCTCTAGCCTACCACCACGCAATATTTCTCTAGTTTTATTGCCAGTTTTATGGAACACACTCGCTCAGAATATGAGCAAAAAGGGGCGCGTATTAAAAGAGTAGGCCACGTAAGTACACACTTACGCGTATGTATGGTTAACACTAAACGCTTTGCGTTCATCTATACTTCGAATTTCACATGTTTTCTCGCTTTTCATACATCCTATTATAAAAAAAATATGTTGATAAATTTTGTAATCACAATGTTCATTTTTTTT